TAGGCCCTATTATAGTACAATACTGTACTTAGCAGGGGTGGCGGCAGCGGTTAGGGAGGGGGGCAGGGCCCCGTCGGGAAGGTCTGGCTTCTCTTCCACCCCATGTCAGGGAGAAAAACCACAATTCGTCGGACCACGCCCACTTTTTCGTTGGGGACATCGCCCCCCCACCCCCCCCCCCGGATTAATCTGATTATAATCTCCATATTCTTCTTACTCTTAAATTAGTCTATGGATTTTCCAATCTTAATCCTACGAACAAATTATTTTACTGGAAGAGAAAATGGGCCTAATAAATTAAAATTACAACTTTTACAACATGACTGCTGAAGTTAAGATTTTTTTTTTTTGTTCACTTCTTTGAAACAATATTGCCGGTTATATTCCAGAAAAAAAGAAAGGGAATCGAATGTTAATATAGTCTATGTAATTTAAGTAAATATATAAACTTTGCAATGTCGTGTATAATTATTTCTATTGTATAAGTGTTATGTATTATGCGCCTATTCAGTGCAGATTCTTCAGTAGCTAGGCGAGGGTCTTACAAAAGATTCTGCATATGCTTAACTTAAGTGAGGCATAGGCCTAGACGGACTGCTGCTGGATCCTGGATACACAATCTAGGACCAGGCCCAAGACTACTGAAAAGACCTCCTGGTTCGACCTTGCCCAGGCTTAGTTAGAGGGAGCCTATACATACTAGCGTCCATACTACTTAGGCCAATCGCCTGAAAATGGACTCGATCGTCCCTCACCCAAATAAGCTAAGCCTCACATTAGTCACACAGTAGTGGGATATTTTTTTGGTAGACGGCATATATACATGACGTCACCATATGCAAGCCACACCCCCTCGGCTGAACCCGTTGTATTTAGCAACTACCGAAAAGGATGAGAGTAGGCGTGTCTATGAAAAGCGCGTTCTAAACAGTTCGTGTCGCGCTTATGCACTAAATGAAACCGCCGTGTATAATATTAAAATTTAAGTCTTAAAAATATGATTAATGGGAAATCACCAGTCTTAGATCGCGTCACGAACGATGTTTTTGTGACTCTTGGTATTTTTCTTTGGAGATCGTAAAATCACGTATTTAAAACACCATTCACACTTTTGAATACGTCCTATATAATTATTTCCTCATTTGTTGCAATTAGGACAAGAATCGTTCTTACAAATGTAATGCACTGAAAACAGAGGGGCTTTTGGAAAGGGCGCTTCATTGAAGAAAATATCCGATTGATCTCTGATGTATTTAATATTGCTATAAATAAAAACCTTCTAGGCCTTTCTTCTCAATATAGATTTTGAGAAGGCACTTGATTCAGTGTCACATTCGTAATTTAAATGGTGCTCATTACGTTTAACTTTGAATATAGTATCGTAAGATGGGTAAATATTTTCTATGAAGATACAAAATCATTGGTTTTTGGTTAATAGTTTTATTTCCAAATCCTTTCTCATTGTTGTGGATGTAGACAGGGGAATGTTTTAACTTAATATCTATTTTTGTTATTTATTGAAGTTTTTGGGATGATTATCAGGAAAATAGAAATGTTAAGGGTTTTAAATTGAATGATTGAATGTTTGCTTTCTATGTTCGCTGATGTAATTATTGACTTTTCAGAGGAATTCATGGGAGAAATAAATGTTGTCAAGTCTCTTGTTTATAAATGTGTGATCTTGGTATTGATTCTACTCAATCCACTCCCTTACATTTGGAATGCACGAAAACATATAATATACCAATTTGTATTGAAAGAAACCGATCGTATTCCCAAAAATCAGACCTGCAAAAAAAAAAAAAAAAAAAAAAGCTGCAAAAAAAAAAAAGAAAAAAAAAAGAAAAAGAAAAAAAATAAAATCATTGTTTCTTTAGGGCTTTAAAGTTGTCTTGAACTAGAGGAATTGTTAACAGTTAAGGCTCAGAGTGGGTGTATTGTTAAGTACATCTGCAATGTTGATGATTTCTTTTCGTTGAACGGAGGCATAATGTTTTTAAGAAAAAAAATGAAAAGGTAGAATATTCCAATATATTTTGGATTGATGTATTCAATGCACGGAATAATTTTGTTGGCATACATACACCAGACACAAATTATTATTTACATGATAAATAAAATACAGTTTGTTTTTAGAATATCACGGATTAAAAAAAGTGGTAAAAGATCATCGGTGACCTTTTCATTTGAATTGTATTTTAAAATATTCGAAAGAAGTGACTTTAATTAATTAGTTATTTAGATAAAAAAAATAGAATGTTCCTTTGTGTACAGAGAGAAACTGGAAAACGAAATTGAAAAATGCAAGAAATTGGTCATTCACATATAGTCCCATTCTCATGTAAAAAGAGTAAAATCATCTATAGAATTTTAGGGCATAAAAGTTTTTATTTTAAATTGGCAAATCCGAGGATAGTAGCGGTACATTCTGTAAGAATTATCATGAGACAACTTTTCATATTTGTTGTTCTTGTGAGTACTCGATTTCTTTTTCAATGTATTATTTTATAGATTAGGGGAAAAAAAAAACTGAAACCAATGCCTATTATTTACGTCCGAGAAGTGAGTATTTTCCGAATTCCTAATTGTAAAGAGGAGGGATTAAATGTAATCGTATTACTATTTATATAAGAGGAAAATGGTGGATGAAAACCTTGTTTCATGTATTCGAATTTCAGCTAAGGAAATATTATATTTCATAATAAATAATGTTGAAACAATAACTCATGGGAAAGCAAATGGAGAGGTTTGCATATTGTATTTTGAACTGAAAACATTATACCCAATATATTGTTCTACACTGTTGTTTTCATATAATTTTGTTATTTTTTAAAATTTATTCGAAATGTTAATTATGCTTATTTTTGTTATAAAATAAATAAAAAATTAATAGGCAGATAAAGGAAATTTTAATGAAGATAGATAATGAGGACTGCCTTCTCCCTCCGCCCCCACCCTTTTGAAAAGTAAATAAAAATAACAAAAACAAAAAAATAAGGAAGAAAGAAAAAAAAAAGGAAAAAAGAAAAAGAAAATTATTGATATCCCAAAACGCCTACAGTTCTACAAAATAGGTACAAGAATAGACTAAGGCGGATCTCAGCTTTTTCTTTAAATTACTTCAGTTTTTTCTACTCGTAGCCACAAGTCCGACATTTACAAAGCCGGACCCAATTTCAGAATAAATTAAAGGAAATATTGCTTTTTATGTCGTGTGGTTTCTGCTTGGAACGAGCTTTCGGACTACGTCATTCTGGCACTAACAGTTAATGTTTTCATGTCAAAGATAAACGTCGACTAGAAGAATCATCATATAAAATGTTCTTTTCTAGTATAAGTCTATGTGACTATAATAGATATTGAAGAGTGGGTTTGCATGTATGCTCCAAGTAAAATAAAATGCAAAAGCAATGAAAAAACGGTGTACAATAATTGAACGTTGACTTGCAGAACACAAATTTATTAAGCTATAACAAAATCAAACGGATATTTCGATAGCTCCTGCTATCTTCATCAACGTTAAAGTGAGAAAACTTGGGAGATCTTACATATACATAAAGAATAATAAACCAATCAGAATCAAGTTATCAATACAATTAGTTGATTGGACCACAAAATATAAGTTCAGTGACAAGTTAATGGGCGAATTAATTACTGTACAATTAAACCATGATAAGATGTCGGCAAAATGATTATGTAAGCGATAGTTTATTGGCGGTGCCATTGAACCAGCTTAATGCTAATACTTATTTAACTACAGTAAACAATAACAGGAAATAAAACATAGTAAGATTAATAAGGTCCTATATAATTATAACAATTGTGGAATAGAAAATAAATAGCAGAAATATAAGGTATAGTGCTTGGGGACGGTGGCTTGAACTACACAAGTTTAAAGCGCTAAAATATACAAGGATTTCAACAATCTCTAAGCAAATTAGGTCCGTAAACCAGACTTGGAACTTACAAAGTATTGAAGATCTGCTATCTCTGGCAAATAATCGATCTACTTGGAATAATATTTGCAGAAACGCTATGCAATAATACAAACGCTGATTCTTTTTTTGGACTATTTTAGGCTACTGACATGGTATTATTAAAATTATTCAGAAATAGTACAATATATAAACTTTTTCTAAACGTTTGCCTTTATTTCTAATGTGCATTTTTCATACAAAGCCAGATTTTCTGGTGTAAGATTGATATCCTCCATCCCTGTGATACCTTTGTTTTCCAGAATAAAATGCTAATGACCGGTATTTCAAAATTAGTAAGGCGTAGTCGTAGTTGTTAAATCATAAAACAGCTGTTAGGTCTATTTCAGTTAGAGTAAACATTAACTTCAACCAAACATGATATCATAATTAGATTGGATTTTCTTTTACAATCGATATTGAACAATAATTATATTGATGTACTGATGCTAAACTGAAAATAGTCATTATTCTAAGCTATTCGACCAACACGCTTAACGTTTTCTATTTAATATAATATTTTTTTACTGCATGAAAAGTCAATTTCGAATTTTTAATAATTTTAATTTAACAATATTGCTTCGCTCAGCCTCATAAAGTGAACCATATGGCTTTTGCATTTTAAGCGAGCGTCCGTTGTTATTCTAGAAATTAGAATTTTAATTCCTTGCTGTGCATTTTGTCTGTGCGCTAAAGGATGGCATTTTATCTATCAAAGGGTACCGCTAAATTTGGAGTAACTTTGAAAGGCCGCTGAAGGAAACTAGGATAATAATTTTATGATTAATTTTCTCTCAGCAACACGGATTATGATTAATTTTAATGATTTTTATTCAAGAAAAACTAGGCATAATGGGTGTGGTGTTATGTCGGTAAACAAACAAGAGCATTACATCTCAAAATACTAGTTTAAAAAAATAAATATTATATGGATTGTTATCGTTATAAAAGCAAACTATAGAGCTCTATCTATCAAGACCAAATTAGTGGATCGTCCAGCCAAAAACTAACCAACTAATTTATCAATAGATCAATCAAATATTTTATTTAAAATCTTATCTCCTTTTTCAATGGTATTTTTTCCTCCCAAACAAAATTTGTCAAGTTGACTAATATGGTATGACCAGGTCACTAATAATTAGCATTGAGCATCTTTCTTAATGAATTAAAGCTTGTAGACAAAATTAGAATAACACATTTTGCTAAACAAAAAAATATATGCAATTATTTATGTTATTGTATTTTTAATATTCATGAAGTGCAGATTACATTGCAGAGTGCGAAATTCAATATCGAATACTGCACAGTTTTAACCTTACCTCGCTAATCTTAGTAGGATGGCAGAATAAAATATTCCGAAACTCATTTTATCTAATCTAAGTAAATCTTTTTATTTTAAAGTTAAATAATATGGCACGTAGGTCATTCTTGAAACATGTTGAGCATGACTCAAGATTCACAGTTAGCTTCATCGTTTCTTCATCGGTGGTTTACAACAAAACTCTTCATTTTGGCAAATCGTTTCGCAGCTTCAATCGCCTTCCACTTCATCAGTTAGCCCTATAAAGCAAAACAACATTTGTAAAAAAGCTCGGTCATAAAACATTTTATTTCGATATCATTATGATTTTAATGATCTGGAATAAATTTGCTTACCACATTTATAGTTGCGTTACAGTAAGATGGAAGAATAAAATATTCTGAAACATCAGTTAACACCTCGAAGTTGTAGTAAGTAAAGCCATATATTACGTCGACTGAAATCAACATTATAAGCAAAATTGTTATATTATAAGCAAAATATATATATATATATATATTTATATATATATATATATGTATA